AGATAAATTTTTAATTTTTAAATTGAGTTTTAATTAGATAAAATGAGGTATTTAATTTAAATTTGAAACTTTAATTTATTTTAAAAATTAAAACTTTTATGCATTTTTTTCTTATTATATTTATTTAATATCATATGTTATATAATTATAAATTTATCATTTTAAATGATCCTAATTTTTTATTAAATTTTCAAAATTTAAAAGTTATATTATTATCAACTAATTTAAAATTAAATCATAATAAATCATATAAAAAAATTTAATGTCTATTACTATATTTATTGAATTTAAATTTAAGACTTTATTTAAATAATATTTTCACCTAAATGTATAACTTTATTTTATTTATATTTTATTTAAGTAAAGAAATTGAATGATCAAATAAATCAAAAATCCCGCTCAAATATCAAATCCCTTGTCATATGGTCATATAAGCATGACATGGCAATATTTTGCCATCCAAGCAGCCAGGCGAGCAAGTCCCAAACGACAGTTAAGCCAGGCGAGCGAGTCTCAAACGGCGGTTAAGTTGGCGTAAGAAGAAGGGTTTAATTGCCTCGATCGCAGAGTTCAAGGGCTTATATGCATTAATTAAAGTCTAGGGGCTTAATAGCGATTCTGGAGTTAGTTCAGGGGCTTAACTTATGGTTTTGCCTATTTGGTTTCAAATCCAGCCCTACACTCGGGTTCATGTTGGGTTTGTGATGAACCCAATATCTAGGTTTAAATCAAACCCCAGAATAGTGCTTCTTATCTTCTTCTTTTTTTTTTCTTTTTTGTTTTTTTGTGTTTGTTTTGAATCTATAAGTAAATTGTCATGGAATTGGATTTTTCTTTGTTTGTTTTAGGAGAACAAATTGACTGAAGATTGATGATGATAGCATTGGATGATTTCTTATGAAAACTTTCTGAATGGATTAAGGGAGGAAGGTTGATTGAGGTTAGGGTGAGATTCTTTCTGAGTGGATTAATAGATGAAGGTTGATGGAGCTTAGGATGAGATCTGATGGAGGAAGAGAGAAGAGAGAGAAAACAATTGGTTAATTAAAATATTTTCTTTAATTGAGGTTTAAAATATAGTTAATCACTTGATTAGTCAGTTTTAATGACTTAATTTATTAATCAATAAAAAAAATTAGTGATATCAGCATCTTAAATGTGATCTATTGCCATGTTATTATTTTAATTTTAAAAAAAATTGCCACATATCATTTTATCTTACATGGAATTTCCATGTAAGATTAATAATTTAAAAATTAAATTGTTTTGAAAAGTTAACATGACATGTTACTTTTAATTGACGAAATGACTAACAATGTATATTTTTGAAAGTTAAGGGATTAAAAAAATATATAGAATAATTAAGAGATGAAAATTATGCAAAATCTTACAATTAGGATACTAAAATTGACTTTAACCTAAATTAAAAGCAATTTTCTGCTAATTAGAGTTATTGATTTGGAATTTTAGCTTAGAATTATTAAGGATGATGTGTTTGCTTAATTATTTGTTTTAAATTGTTGACTTCTTGTGAGTATTCTCCAATTTATTTTTGAAAAACTATAATTTATTTGACTAATTGAATTTAATGAGAACAATAAATACGTATGAACTAAAATTTATAATTATAATTCTCTGCTTGATTATGTTTAGTGGATGGTAAAGGTTACTTTTAGTTTTCTAGGAAAGTTTCATAATTTTAATTTTATCAAAAAATAATTATTAAATACCAATCAAACATGCACCTGGCCTTTGAGGTCTAGTGGTATTAGCCACCGGTGCATTCACCCCCGGACAGGGTTCGAAACCCACCCCTTGCAAAATATGTTCAAAAAAAAAAAAATACCAATCAAACATGACTCTCAGGAGAGTTTGTTCGAGGCGATTATTTTCTTGTTACTCACCACTTCCCTAGTAGCAACCTCCATGGACCCTCACGCAAGGTAGGTGGATCTTACCGGTAAGACACTGGTTTATCCCAATTTTAAATTGGTTTAAGTACCATTTTGGTCCCTCAACTTTGCACTTTGGTACCAAAAATGTCCCTCAGCTTTAAAAAGTACCAAAATTATCCTTGAACTTTGATTTTTGGTACCAAAATGGTCTTTCTGTCAGTTAAACGCCAGGTGGCCCGTTAAGATGGCACAAAATCATCGGCTTTTTTGATTTTTAATGACGTGTAAATACAGCAAGGACATTTTTGACACCTTGGCATTTTTCCACGTCAGATTGCTTCCCCACTTTTTAGATTCACTTTTTGTGGGGCCCACATGAAAAAAAACAAATAGTTTTCTTTTTCCAGTTTTAGTTGAGTTCCCCAAAAGTGGCAGTGTTCTTCGTCTTCGTTTCTCTGTCATTTCCCTTTTCAGACTCAATTCGAAACCCTAAACCTACAACCTGCTACTTCTGCGAAATCAAAAGCGAATCAAGCTTTACACTTGTAACCATCGAATCTATCAATTGAATCTGTTGATATATCCATTCAATGGATGCCGAACCTGGAACTGGGCATACGAACCGTAAGGTGCTAGAAGTTATACCTGAAGTTATAGATCTGGATTCTATGGAGATCGAGGATAAGGTACGTTATGTTTCTTGATTATTTACGTTTCGTTATTAAAATGGCGTTGTTTTTTCTATTTATCTTTGCTTAGCATGTCAGAAAACATAGGGATAGGATATGGGTCGGTGGGGTTTGTGTGTTACCTTTAGAGAAACAAAGGACATTGGACTTTATGCTGTTTTCTTTGTTTTAAAGTGACATTTGGTCCCCACATTGTTGTCTGTATGTAGATTCTATATATGACCATGTAGACAGATAAATGCATATATAGTAATTTATTATTATTAAATAATTAATGAACTGAAAGTGGTTGGTTTGGATGCAGCACTACTAATTGTTGAGTATTGATTATCTTTTACTTTTTATATTGTTGATACGAATAGATTGAAGAAAAGAGTGGTGACTACCTGCCAATGTATATCCACATTGGTGGTAGTTTTAAACACGACCGCGATGGTAACCTTAGATATGTTGATGGGGAGTGTGATACATGGCAAGTGAATCCGGAGTTGTTAACAGTTTGGGAGTTTTATGAGAAAGTTAGAATTAGTAGATATGATGTTGATCTAGTGGAAGGTATTTATTATCTTAAACCAAGCAAATCACTGGATGATGGTTTAAAGCAAATTATTGGAGACGACACAGTTAGGGAAGTGTTGGATGTGATGAAGGGACATGGTGAAGTTCATATATATGTGGATCACATCCCCAACTTTGCTGAAATAGTTCCTGTATCTCTTGTTTTAATGTTCCCAGCACCTGGTGATCCTTTAGAACTTGGTGGTGGGGTTTGTAGTGATGCTGGTGGTGGGGTTTTTAGTGATGCTGGTGGTGGGGTTTTAGTGATGCTGGTGGAAGTAGGATCAATGAGGATGAGGCATTTCATGAGGTTGGTGAAAGGAGGGACAATAACAGTGATGAACAAGATGCAATATTTAATGAGGCTGGTAGTTATAGGAGCACAGAACATGGGGACCACTTTGTTGCTGGTAGTAGTGATGTCCATAATGATTGTTTTCCTCAACAACCTAATATAGATAATGTTGAA